AATTTATCATCTTGTTTTTAGATCTATTTGATCAAGAGCAACGACTCGCCGTTATACTTGTTATTGTTAGTGCTTATTGTTAATTCTTTGGTGTTTTGAAAATTTTTGGAATAACATTATTCTCAAATCACTTTTCAAAGTTATTTCAGAAATGATCTATTTGTAAAATAACGAAATTATATTATTAAGTACTTCATATGAAAATTAAATTAATTTATTTTCAATTAAATGATTCACTTGTTATTTCGTGAAATAAATTATTTACTATTTGCCAGTATCTTTATTTGTTGTTTGATTTTAATATGACTGATTTCTCAAGGTACAACGTCCAACGTTTGTATTTACTAATTCTTATTATGCGACTACGGCATAGTTATTACATTTACCTGCAGAGTATATGCACAAGTTATATAAAATATCTTGAATAAAGTATTCGTTACAATATTTAGTAGGTAAAAGGAATCTGCATTCAACTGCTATTTTTGAAATGGCACAGTCCACTCATCGTTAATACACCACAGCCCAAATAGAACGAGAATCGTTCTAAAAATCGAACAATGACATTGAGATATCTAAACGACAGACAGATAATAACTAAAAATATTTCCCGAATAACCTGTATCCTTTGTCCGTCCATGACATATCTTAAAATGATAACGACCTATTCTGATCCAGAAGACCATTCTGCGCCAGAAAACACATATCGTCCTTAGTTGGGTACCTTTTTCTTTTCTCTCGCTCGCCCTTACTATCAAGTTCACGCTACCATTAATAATGTAACCTGGCCGATCGATCCTCCTTTTACGCTTCTATGGATGAAGACAAAGGCAAACGAACGGAAAAACTCGCTCACCTGAGACATTAGGATGGCGTCATCGGACTCGGATTCTTCCAGGGACTCGACCAGACTCTCACGGCTTGCTAGTACCTGCAAAAACGAGAATTCATCGTTGACCTACGTCGAATAAGATGTAATATCGTTGCTCGTAGATGCAGAGGAATTTCGAAGACATTCGAGGGAACACGAGTTATAGATGGAATAAAATGTCATTGGTCGTAGAGGAAAACAAATTCTTCGAAAAACATAGGAAACGAACGTGTTACAAATTTAACGTGTTGTAATTTTGTTTATACGTAATATACGTATTTATCTAATTTATTTACATGTAAATTATTACGTAAATAAAATCGAGTAATCACGACTAATTATGAACAAAACTCATTGAAATCGCGTTATCTTTTATCTACGTATATAAAGTATTCAAACACTAAATTCCTGATGTTCGAAAAATTGTCGATATTTAAACTGCCATAATATATTTATTTAATTGTTAGTATAGTTATTTAATAGTTAATTTAATGGTTATAATTTTGTAAAAAGAAATTTTACAACGATCAACTTGGGCTCATTTTAAAGCCTAAAGTCTTTACTTTCAAAATGCATCATTCATTTTATTCTGAAGAGAATTTTGCATCACGTTGTAGTTCTTTTCTCAAAAACACTACAAATTGTCACAGTATGTGAAAACATTGACAAATTTTTTTCTTAACGACTTTATCTGAATTTATCATAGATGTGAAAATTGAATTTTTAAAGTGTGTAATTAGAATAGGAGATGTGAAATTATATATGGTTGTATTATTAATCCCTTAATGTTACAAAAAAAATAGTATTTCACATAAATTTATAAATATTTGGAATGAAAAAAAATTACGGTATAATAAAAATGTAGAATAAAAAAATGAAAGAAGCTGTTTGAAAGAAGCTCAAACTTTGCTTGATAACAGTTTCTCTATGAGCTCATAAAGAATTAATATATTAATTATCATTTTGCCTATGTGAATGAATATTTAATTTTTATAAAATACAACAAAAGCGCAACAACAAAGTACAACGAAAGCGTAATTTTTATTTTATAGTATATTTTCTAGTTATTCATTTTATTTAACATTTTCCTATGTACAGTAAAAATTTTTTATTTGTAGGAAAAATTGTTTCGATAACCATCGTAGTAGTCATGTTAAATGTATAAGCAAATTTAATTTGTTTCATTCAATATATCTTAGAACATGATAAAAGAAGAGAGATTTAAAATTTTTTTGAAATAATATTTATATTGTTGCGAAATTTATTATATGGAAGGACATGAAAATATGGCTAATAATCATAGAATATGAAATACAATATCGGTGGAAATGATATTAAAAAGGAAACACTAAAAATGGAAAAAATTACCAGGTAAAAGTTTCAAGGTTTAAAATCTGAAACCTTTTCCCGTAGCCTCGCTTGGGATCTTTCAATTAATCAATGTTTCAATTTTTATATCGATATGATACCTTTTACACCAATAAATGTAATAAATAAATAAATAAATATTTTTGAAATGAACGAATAAATACCTACTTTTTATTACAACTCCTCTGTCTGAGGAGAACTGTCTGAATACGTAGCTAAAAATACAATGATAAGAAGAAATTCAAAGAACAGGCAGTAGAAGAACAGAAGTAATACATCTCTATACTTCAACTGAATTAATCTGTCTGTTGTAATATTGCATGGACGAAGACAAACGTTATTGTTCGTACGGAGAATTTATTTATACACTATCTGCCATACGTGCATGTGTATATTCTTTGAATCTCCTATTGGTGGAAACGCGAGTGCAGTCCGATTGTTAGAATCATTGCGTTCGAAATATGGTATTAATAATATTGTTGAATGTGGAGTGGTGCAGAAAAACTGGGACAGAAGGTATAGGCTTTTTTTTCTCTCTCCTTTGGATATAAATAGAGAAAGAAAGTGGTACGTAATGATTGAATGGGTTAATGAGCTTTATCTCTGGATGAATTGTTTTTACAGAACGTACCTCTCACTGTTCTATACGTGTAATCAGATTAAAATTAATTTTAAATTGAGGTAAAAAATTGATTTCAGATTGAAATTGAAATTGATACAAACAATTAAATTTCGTAAATTAAATATTAATAGCGAGAATTGAGATATAGATTTAATTTTAAATTTAACTAAAAATCGACTACTTCACAAGGGAACCAGTCATATCCACTAATGAACAATACTTTAAATAATGAACAATTGTAAATATTTATAAATCATTAGCAAACTCGTTATCATCCGAGTTTTTTTATGTTCTTAGTACGTGGAACAAGTCCTAGATGAATGAATGTATGAGTTTTGTTTGAACGAAATTGTGAGTCACTATTCGCCGTAAGTATACCGTTGGAAGGAATGAATTATGTTCGTAGCGTGCAGGCCGCTTAATGAAATAACAAAGGCACATTTCAAACCGTGAATGACCGTACGAGTCTACTGATTCGTGGAAAATCACTCTACATTATTTTCTTCCTTTTCTTTTCCTTTTATTTTCTTTTCTTCTTTTCTTTTCTTTCACTAAGAATTCTCATAGTCGAGATACTATCGTGTTAATTATTTTTAACTGCAATTGTTAAAAGAT